TATTTAACAACCAAAGCAGATTGAGCTTTAATATTTTGCACAATTTCATTTGGGGTCTAGGGTTACTTTATTACAAAATTTCATTAGATTTAGAAAGGGTCGAGTGGGAGACCTTTGGTGAATTCACATGGAATGACCCAACATCCAATATCACACTTGAACAGCCTACTACTAACATTTACACATTTCAACATCTTCAGACAATAGCCAATTACACAGAAGCAGCCTCAGACAACAGTCAGCCACACTAGATCAGCCAGTCACACTAGAGCAGCCTAGTATACAGCTGCCAGCCACACTAGAGCAGCCTTGGATACAACAGCCAGCCACACTAGAGCAGCCTTGTATACAACAGCCAGCCACACTTGAGCAGCCTTGTATACAACAGCCAGCCACACTAGAGCAGCCTTGGATACAACAGCCAGCCACACTAGAGCAGCCTTGTATACAGCTGCCAGCCACACTAGAGCAGCCTTGTACACAACAGTCAGCCACACTAGAGCAGCCTTGTACACAACAGTCAGCCACACTAGAGCAGCCTTGTATACAACAGCCAGCCACACTAGAGCAGTCTTGTATACAACAGCCAGCCACACTAGAGCAGTCTTGTATACAACAGCCAGCCACGCTAGAGCAGCCTTGTATACAACAGCCAGCCACACTAGAGCAGTCTTGTATACAACAGTCAGCCACACTAGAGCAGCCTTGTATACAACAGTCAGCCACACTAGAGCAGCCTTGTATACAACAGCCAGCCACACTAGAGCAGTCTTGTATACAACAGTCAGCCACGCTAGAGCAGCCTTGGATACAACAGCCAGCCACACTATAGCAGCCTTGTATACAGCTGCCAGTCACACTAGAGCAGCCTTGTATACAACAGTCAGCCACACTAGAGCAGCCTTGTATACAACAGTCAGCCACACTAGAGCAGCCTTGTATACAGCTGCCAGCCACACTAGAGCAGCCTTGTATACAGCTGCCAGCCACACTAGAGCAGCCTTGTACACAACAGTCAGCCACACTAGAGCAGCCTTGTATACAACAGCCAGCCACACTAGAGCAGCCTTGTATACAACAGCCAGCCACACTAGAGCAGTCTTGTATACAACAGTCAGCCACGCTAGAGCAGCCTTGTATACAACAGTCAGCCACACTAGAGCAGCCTTGTATACAACAGTCAGCCACACTAGAGCAGCCTTGTATACAACAGTCAGCCACACTAGAGCAGCCTTGTATACAACAGTCAGCCACACTAGAGCAGCCTTGTATACAACAGCCAGCCACACTAGAGCAGCCTTGTATACAACAGCCAGCCACACTAGAGCAGCCTTGTATACAACAGCCAGCCACACTAGAGCAGCCTTGTATACAACAGTCAGCCACACTAGAGCAGCCTTGGATACAACTGCCAGCCACACTAGAGCAGTCTTGTATACAACAGTCAGCCACACTAGAGCAGCCTTGTATACAACAGTCAGCCACACTAGAGCAGCCTTGGATACAACAGTCAGCCACACTAGAGCAGTCTTGTATACAACAGTCAGCCACACTAGAGCAGCCTTGGATACAGCTGCCAGCCACACTAGAGCAGCCTTGTATACAACAGTCAGCCACACTAGAGCAGCCTTGGATACAGCTGCCAGCCACACTAGAGCAGCCTTGGATACAGCTGCCAGCCACACTAGAGCAGCCTTGTATACAGCTGCCAGCCACACTAGAGCAGTCTTGTATACAGCTGCCAGCCACACTAGAGCAGTCTTGTATACAAGTCAGCCACACTAGAGCAGCCTTGGATACAGCTGCCAGCCACACTAGAGCAGCCTTGGATACAGCTGCCAGCCACACTAGAGCAGCCTTGGATACAGCTGCCAGCCACACTAGAGCAGCCTTGGATACAGCTGCCAGCCACACTAGAGCAGCCTTGGATACAGCTGCCAGCCACACTAGAGCAGCCTTGGATACAGCTGCCAGCCACACTAGAGCAGCCTTGGATACAGCTGCCAGCCACACTAGAGCAGCCTTGGATACAGCTGCCAGCCACACTAGAGCAGTCTTGTATACAGCTGCCAGCCACACTAGAGCAGTCTTGTATACAAGTCAGCCACACTAGAGCAGCCTTGGATACAGCTGCCAGTCACACTAGAGCAGCCTTGTATACAACAGTCAGCCACACTAGAGCAGCCTTGTATACAGCTGCCAGCCACACTAGAGCAGCCTTGGATACAACAGTCAGCCACACTAGAGCAGCCTTGGATACAGCTGCCAGCCACACTAGAGCAGCCTTGGATACAACAGTCAGCCACACTATAACATCAGTGGTCCAGTTAGGTAACTTGATCTATGAAAAGGTACAATAAAGAGAATTACAGAAATGCAGCCATAGAATAATGTAGACCAGCACTATAATACCATAAAGAATATTTAATTAAATGCTAAACAGAGCCATGCTAAGCTATTTAATCAAATACATTTCACTACTGGTATTTGTATTTCAAATATAAACTGCTTTTGACTCATGTTTAGTCAAAGCTGAAGGCTGAAGGCATAGCCTTTAGCTGAAGGCTATATGAAAAAGATGAACTTGCATCACATACTAGAAGTTGTTCTAAACAAATGCAGATCACTTAGTTACTTTGTATTGATTCAATAAATTTTCAATAATGAATAATAGGTGGCAATGCTGCTAGTTGTTGCTATTACAAGGTAATCTTTTCAAACCGACTGGTGAACTTTATTGCCATGTTATATGAGCATACTGGCAACATTACCAGTCAATGGACAGTTAAATGATCACACATCAATCTATGTTGCTCTTGTTTACAGCAACTGTATATCAGGAAAGCATATTACTTCCGCCATTCTCAGCTACTATTATTAAACATTCAACTTTCTAAACGTAATGTTAATGTCATTGTTAAATGACTAATTTAAAGATCTAGGCCATCAGACATTACAAAAATGTCGAGGCCGTTGTTTCACTCGCGTGCAACACTGCGTGCACGTCACATTTTAAAGTCCCGGGCACCGCGTGGTCCAGCCCCCCCCCCTCCCCCCTCACACCCCTCCACGCGCTCAAACTAATGCAATTCTAAGTTTCCTTAGTTACTTGCTCGCCCTCTTCTGAATCAAATTCGAAGAACAAATGCTCGCAGCTCCAATCAATACACACCGCCCCTTCCCAGCACGCCGTTCACCTCGAGTTTAGTGCTAGGACCAAACCACGCGTCAGAAGATGGAGAACCTACGACCATCCGGTCCGTCGCGGCCCATTATCACGTCCATCTTGTCACGTGTGCTTTGGTCATCACATGTTAAGCCACGTTAATGTGTGCACTAACACTATACAACAACGTAAACTAAGTTCTGTCAATGCCCCAGAGAAACTAAAGCCAGTTAAGTTTACTCGGTCTACAAGTAAAATATCCTTTCCGTTGTTAAAGATGTCATTTGGCGAAGTGGAAGCTTTCGCATCCTAGGTGTTACAAGATCACTGTGCTGGCTGGGCTATTGTCTGTCATTAACAAATATCTTTGATTCCCTTACAAGCTTAAGGATTAAACCAACAAACAGGCAGAAACTGGCCTAAATATACGGTCAAGGACTTCTCCGCGTTACTTGGGAGCACTACGCATGCGTCTTTAGTTCCCCATAAACCCCTGAGCCTGTTTAAACACCAACTCTCCTTAACAAGTAGTGTGGCTCCGTATTAGCACAAGAGCAATATACACGACCGTCGGGTAAGGACAGCCCTAACCTGAACACTAGACTAAGTTAACTTGGCAACAAAGCCAGCCGGACGCCACGGAACAATGGCGGGCTTTTCACTCTCAGATAAAGTACAAAGTTGTAGTTATGACTCGTTAACAGTTGAGACGGGTCCAGCACGGGTAGCGTCGCTGCTCACCACGGACCAGCAGCCAGGTTTAGTTGCCGTATATGGTGAAGGAGCACCAGCAGGTGTGGAGGAGCCTATACCCGGTGTGTAGTGTGAAGGGGCGTCGGTGGCCATAGGCCTAACAGCTCCCACCCCCCCCGCCTCGCTCCCACAACCACACTAACTACCTGCTTCTCACGCAGAGAGCCTCACGCAACACGCCGGGAGCCTCACGTGGAGCCTCACCCAACACGCGGGGAGCCTCACCCAACACGCGGGGGAGCCTCACCCAACACGCGGGGAGCCTCACGTGGAGCCTCACCCAACACGCGGGGAGCCTCACGTGGAGCCTCACCCAACACGCGGGGAGCCTCACGTGGAGCCTCACCCAACACGCGGGGGAGCCTCACCCAACACGCGGGGGAGCCTCACCCAACACGCGGGGGAGCCTCACCCAACACGCCGGGAGCCTCACGTGGAGCCTCACCCAACACGCGGGGAAGCCTCACCCAACACGCCGGGAGCTTCACGTGGAGCCTCACCCAACACGCGGGGAAGCCTCACCCAACACGCGGGGGAGCCTCACGCAACACGCCGGGAGCCTCACGTGGAGAGCCTCACGCGGAGAGCCTCACGCGGAGAGCCTCACGCGGAGAGCCTCAGGCAACCCGCGTGGAGCCTCAGGCACACCAGCGTGACCAGCCTCCGCCTCAACTGGCTCATAATAAGTTCCCGCCAAGCCGGTGCCTTTGTTCTGGGGTGCGGAGTCCCGCCCGCCCTCTCGCCGCCCTCTCCCTCACGCCGCCCTCTCTCACACGCCGCCCTCTCACACGCCGCCCTCTCCCTCGCCCTCACGCCTCCCTCTCACACACGCCGCCCTCTCCCTCGCCCTCACAGCCCTCCCTCAAACACGCCGCCAGCCCTCTCCCTCACACACGCCGCTCGCCCTCACAGCCCTCTCCCATGTACACAACGCCCTCGTCGCCTCACACCCCGCCCATGTACACGTCGCCTCACACCCCGCCCATGTACACGTCGCCTCACACCCCGCCCATGTACACGACGCCTCACACCCCGCCCATGTACACGACGCCCTCGTCGCCTCACTAACGTTTGGACTTACGTTTAAATCACTTCTGCGTTAGTGGGTAGTTCAGCCCGGCCTAAGGTGGTGTTGGTGGTGGTGGGGGCGGGTGTGGCACTGCTCGCCGGGTCCCGCACACACAAGGCACTCCCTTACTACCCTCTACACGCACTCACACCACAAAGTGTTCAAGGTGGTCCTTGTGGCCAGCATCAGGAGACACCGGCCGCCACACCACCGGTCCTTTCCCTCACTTTAGTTCAAAGTCTTCCAGGTGTTCCACGAGCGTCGGCCTCGCTCAACACAACTGCTAGCATACTTACACGACCTTGGTAGCTGTATCGGCCATTTGGAGGTATTTGGGAGCGAGTATCACGAGAAATACAAGAAAGGGCGAGAGAGCGCGCCAGCAGAGGTCCAGTAAGCTCCGCGTCGGGCAAGCAAGAGACTGAGAGTGGTAGAGCGGGAGTGTTTCCCGCGCACCCCGGCCCGCCCACAATGCCCCGCGCCGCCATGACAACATCGCAGCGTTGTCATGACAACCACCAGACTCCACCCAATAGGAGGAGCCTCTCCTCACACGTCATGCTCATATGCCACATCTCATACAAATATTCATCATATTCCAACTATTCGACAATTTACGATAAATACGATATAAATCAAAAATTACAAAAAAACACTTTAAATAATTATAATTTATTTATTTTGATGTAGGAATTTATAAGGAGGAAAGATAGTGCTAAAGTGGTCATAAATGTGGCATATTATTTGTAGGAGCGCGGGCCGTCCGACAGCTGCCTGGGTGCTGCCTCACCGCACGCTCCTCGCCACTCTCATCTAAACTGCCCATACAATTCCAAATAATATAAATGGGAACTACCGTAGATTTGTGAGAATTTGTCTATTAATATCGCGATTTCTAAATCTATATGGGAACAAATCTATTTAAAACATGGGAGACATTTTTAAACTTTGCGTAGTCAATAGTTATTGGCGCACTTTTAACCTGTTGCTATATGTGAGTGATATACATAACGTGACACAGTATGATGCTCTACTTTACCACACATGTCAATGTTGTTATCATGTTGATGTTACTATGTTGATGTTGTTATCATGTTGATGTTACTCTGTCAATGTTGTTATCATGTTGATTTTTTTTTTAAATTTTGCCCCGAGGGGCGAGTTTATTGGGCAGCGCCACTCATCTTGTGAGTGAACATAAGCATATCATGTTGATGTTGTTATCATGTTGATGTTGTGATCATGTTGATGCGTTACGCTAAGGCATGAGGGCTACACTAAGGCATGAGGACTACACTAAGGCATGAGGGCTACACTAAGGCATGAGGGCTACACTAAGGCATGAGGGCTACACTAAGGCATGAGGGCTACACTAAGACATGAGGGCTACACTAAGACATGACGACTACACTAAGGCATGAGGGCTACACTAAGGCATGAGGGCTACACTAAGACATGACGACTACACTAAGGCATGAGGGCTACACTAAGGCATGAGGGCTACACTAAGGCATGAGGGCTACACTAAGACATGACGACTACACTAAGGCATGAGGGCTACACTAAGACATGAGGGCTACACTAAGACATGACGACTACACTAAGGCATGAGGGCTACACTAAGGCATGAGGGCTACACTAAGGCATGAGGGCTACACTAAGGCATGAGGGCTACACTAAGACATGACGACTACACTAAGGCATGAGGGCTACACTAAGACATGAGGGCTACACTAAGGCATGAGGACTACACTAAGGCATCAGGGCTACACTAAGGCATCAGGGCTACACTAAGGCATGAGGGCTACACTAAGGCATGAGGACTACACTAAGGCATCAGGGCTACACTAAGGCATGAGGGCTACACTAAGGCATGAGGGCTACACTAAGGCATGAGGTCTACACTAAGGCATGAGGGCTACACTAAGACATGAGGGCTACACTAAGGCATGAGGACTACACTAAGGCATGAGGGTTACACTAAGACATGAGGACTACACTAAGGCATGAGGTCTACACTAAGGCATGAGGGCTACACTAAGGCATGAGGGCTACACTAAGGCATGAGGGCTACACTAAGGCATGAGGGCTACACTAAGACATGAGGGCTACACTAAGGCATGAGGACTACACTAAGGCATGAGGACTACACTAAGGCATGAGGGCTACACTAAGGCATGAGGGCTACACTAAGGCATGAGGGCTACACTAAGACATGACGACTACACTAAGGCATGAGGGCTACACAAAGACATGAGGGCTACACTAAGGCATGAGGGCTACACTAAGGCATGAGGGCTACACTAAGACATGACGACTACACTAAGGCATGAGGGCTACACTAAGACATGAGGGCTACACTAAGGCATGAGGGCTACACTAAGGCATGAGGGCTACACTAAGGCATGAGGGCTACACTAAGGCATGAGGGCTACACTAAGGCATGAGGGCTACACTAAGACATGACGACTACACTAAGGCATGAGGGCTACACTAAGGCATGAGGACTACACTAAGGCATGAGGGCTACACTAAGACATGAGGGCTACACTAAGGCATGAGGACAAGTGTTGTGGTGAGTGGGTGATCAAGCGCTCTATTGGTGGTGGCAACTGGCATGGAGCCTCAGACAACCTTGGCGCCCACACCTGCCTTGCTACTCCTATATCCCAGGTGTGTGGTGTTACAACCCTCAGGTGTGTGGTGTTACAACCCCCAGGTATGTGGTGTTACAACCCTCAGGTGTGTGGTGTTACAACCCTCAGGTGTGTGGTGTTACAACCCTCAGGTGTGGGGTGTTACAACCCTCAGGTGTGTGGTATTACAACCCCCAGGTGTGGGGTGTTACAACCCTCAGGTGTGGGGTGTTACAACCCTCAGGTGTGGGGGTGTTACAGCCCTCAGGTGTGGGGTGTTACAACCCTCAGGTGTGGGGGTGTTACAGCCCTCAGGTGTGGGGTGTTACAACCCTCAGGTGTGGGGTGTTACTATCCCCAGGTGTGTGGGGTGTTACAACCCTCAGGTGTGGGGTGTTACAACCCTCAGGTGTGGGGTGTTATAACCCTCAGGTTTTGGGGTGTTACAACCCTCAGGTGTGGGGTGTTACAACCCTCATGTGTGGGGTGTTACAACCCTCAGGTGTGGGGTGTTACAACCCTCAGGTTTGGGGTGTTACAACCCCCAGGTGTGGGGTGTTACAACCCTCAGGTGTAGGGTGTTACAACCCTCAGGTGTGGGGTGTAACAACCCCCAGGTGTGGGGTGTTACAACCCCCAGGTGTGTGGTGTTACAACCCTCAGGTGTGTGGTGTTACAACCCTCAGGTGTGGGGAGTTATAACCCTCAGGTGTGGGGTGTTACAACCCTCAGGTGTGTGGTGTTACAACCCTTAGGTGTGTTGTGTTACAACCTTCAAGTGTGGGACGTTACAACCCTCAGGTTTGGGGTGTTACAACCCTCAGGTGTGGGGTGTTACAACCCTCAGGTGTGGGGGTGTTATAACCCTCAGGTGTGTGGTGTTACAAATCTCAGGTGTGGGGTGTTACAACCCTCAGGTGTGGGGTGTTACAACCCTCAGGTGTGTGGTGTTACAACCCTCAGGTGTGGGGTGTTACAACCCTCAGGTGTGTGGTGTTACAACCCTCAGGTGTGGGGTGTTACAACCCTCAGTTGTGGGGAGTTACAACCCTCAGGTGTGGGGTGTTACAACCCTCAGGTGTGTGGTGTTACAACCCTCAGTTGTGGGGAGTTACAACCCTCAGGTGTGGGGTGTTACAACCCTCAGGTGTGTGGTGTTACAACCCTCAGTTGTGGGGAGTTACAACCCTCAGGTGTGGGGTGTTACAACCCTCAGGTGTGGGGTGTTACAACCCTCAGGTGTGGGGTGTTACAACCCTCAGGTTTGGGGTGTTACAACCCCCAGGTGTGGGGTGTTACAACCCTCAGGTGTGGGGTGTTACAACCCTCAGGTGTGGGGTGTAACAAACCCCAGGTGTGGGGTGTTACAACCCCCAGGTGTGTGGTGTTACAACCCTCAGGTGTGTGGTGTTACAACCCTCAGGTGTGGGGAGTTATAACCCTCAGGTGTGGGGTGTTACAACCCTCAGGTGTGTGGTGTTACAACCCTCAGGTGTGTTGTGTTACAACCCTCAGGTGTGGGGTGTTACAACCCTCAGGTGTGGGGTGTTACAACCCTCAGGTGTGGGGTGTTACAACCCTCAGGTGTGGGGTGTTACAACCCTCAGGTGTGGGGTGTTACTATCCCCAGGTGTGTGGGGTGTTACAACCCTCATGTGTGGGGTGTTACAACCCTCAGGTGTGGGGTGTTACAACCCTCAGGTTTGGGGTGTTACAACCCCCAGGTGTGGGGTGTTACAACCCTCAGGTGTGGGGTGTTACAACCCTCAGGTGTGGGGTGTAACAACCCCCAGGTGTGGGGTGTTACAACCCCCAGGTGTGTGGTGTTACAACCCTCAGGTGTGAGGAGTTATAACCCTCAGGTGTGGGGTGTTACAACCCTCAGGTGTGTGGTGTTACAACCCTCAGGTGTGTGGTGTTACAACCCTCAGGTGTGTGGTGTTACAACCCTCAGGTGTGGGGAGTTATAACCCTCAGGTGTGGGGTGTTACAACCCTCAGGTGTGTGGTGTTACAACCCTCAGGTGTGTGGTGTTACAACCCTCAGGTGTGGGGTGTTACAACCCTCAGGTGTGGGGTGTTACAACCCTAGGTGTGGGGTGTTACAACCCTCAGGTGTGAGGTGTTACAACCCTCAGGTGTGTGGTGTTACAACCCTCAGGTGTGGGGTGTTACAACCCTCAGGTGTGAGGTGTTACAACCCTCAGGTGTGGGGGTGTTATAACCCTCAGGTGTGTGGTGTTACAAATCTCAGGTGTGGGGTGTTACAACCCTCAGGTGTGGGGTGTTACAACCCTCAGGTGTGAGGTGTTACAACCCTCAGGTGTGGGGGTGTTATAACCCTCAGGTGTGTGGTGTTACAACCCTCAGGTGTGTGGTGTTACAACCCTCAGGTGTGTTGTGTTACAACCCTCAGGTGTGGGGTGGAGGGAGAGACAGTAGGCTGGTAGTGAGGCATGTCCTGTTTCCCTCGCCCTCCCTCCCCCCTCCCTCCATCCCCTCCCACTAGGGTGAGTGTCCGGGAGGACTGAGGAACCTTGCTAGGGTGGCGCTGGCTCCCTCCCTCCTATCCCAGGCTCCTCCCTCCCATCCCTCGCTCCCCTGCCTTCTCTATCTCACCCTCTCTGTCAAGTTCC